ATATAATACCACGCCATATAATACCACGCCATATAATACCATGCCATATAATACCACCCCAATTATCATACCACCCCAATTATCATACCACCCCAATTATCATACCACAAAGGTAAAATTTTGCGAAAGTCTTGGACATTCTTGCTTGTGAAAAGTTCGCGCCAAAATGTTCGTTTTTCGTCCTAAAACGTTTTTTCTTTGCTTTTTTTTGTAGAATTAAGAAGGACTACATCGCTCTAACCAGCAGAGGTAAAGTTCAATGTGTTTTTTTTCATTTTTTTGCTCAATCGAAATCCCGTTCGAAGGCGTTGTGCGAGCCGCAACATGGCTTCGCTCGCTCATGTGCTGCCCCAATTATCATACCACCCTATATAATACCACCCCATATAATATCACGCCATATATAATACCATCCCATATATAATACCACTCCATATAATACCACGTACGCCATATAATACCACGCCATATAATACTACGCCATATAATACCACCCCAATTATCATACCACCACATATAATACCACCCCATAGAATACCACCCCATATAATACCACCCCATATAATACCACACCATACAATACCACCCCATATATAATACCACTCCATATATAATACCACCCCATATAATACCACGCCATATAATAACACCCCATATAATACCACCCCATATCATACCACCCCATATCATACCACCCCATATCATACCACCCCATATCATACCACCCCATATCATACCACCCCATATCATACCACCCAATATCATACCACCCCAATATCATGCCACCCCAATATCATGCCACCCCATATCATACCACCCCATATATTACCACCCCATATATTACCACCCCATATGATACCACCCCATATAATACCACCCCATATAATACCACCCCATATAATACCACCCTATATAATACCACGCCATATAATACCACGCCATATAACACCATGCCATTTAACACCATGCCATATAACACCACGCCACATAACACCACGCCATATAATACTACGCCATATAATACCACCCCAATTATCATACCACCCCATATAATGCCACGCCATATAATACCACCCCATATATAATACCACTCCATATATAATACCATGACATATAATACCACGCCATATAATACCATGCCATATAATATCACGCCATATAATACCACGCCAAATAATACCATGCCATATAATACCATGCCATATAATACCACGCCATATAATACCAAGCCATATAATACCACGCCATATAATACCACGCGATATAATACCATGCCATATCATACCACCCCATATAATACCACCCCATATAATACCACCCCAATATTATACCACCCCATATCATACCACCCCCATATCATACCACCCCATATAATACCACGCAATATAATACCATGCCATATCATACCATGCCATATAATACCACGCGATATAATACCACGCGATATACCACGCCATATCATACCACCCCAATATCATACCACCCCCATATCATACCACCCCCATATCATATCAACGCATATAATACCACCCCATATAATACCACCCCATATAACACCACCCCATATAATACCATCCCATATCATACCACGCCATATAATACCACGCCATATAATACCACGCCATATAATACGACCCCATATAATACCACCCCATATAATAGCACCCCATATAATACCACTTACAAGATATGTGCTGTGTGTGATTGCATATGTAAGTTATATATTCCAAAATATTAGTCCAGTTGTGCATCGAGCTCTGTTGGTAAATATGGATCTGCTTCAGTCTGTGTTTGGGAATGTCGTCAAATAGATTTCATCCTGCATAATTTGCAGACACGTTCGACAATTACTTAAGCCCTACCCAGCCCTGATTGTGGACATGAATTTAATAATATGTCACTCAGAAAAGTACTAACTATCACCATGGATAATAAAATAAATGGATAGGAAACTAGCTGACGTGACCTAATGTTTTCAATGAGCTGATGGCGTGGTTGGATGTTGAAACTTAGTTGCAAACCAAATTCTTAAAAACGGCATGTTTAGCAATAATACAGCTAAACATTTGAGTCAAAAAGCAAATGAATATAACTACGCCATTCTACGATGAAATCTCTAAGTATTCCCAGTCAATTTTACCAAATATTTCAAGCACTAAACAGTGTAAAATGCATCCCAAATTTCGTTAAAATTGGGGACGCCATTTTCGTAGCTACAAATGTAAAAAAAATACAAAACAAAGACGAAAAACATTTACCTTGAATACTTTGTCGTGGCTTAGGCATGTTTTTAAAACAATTAGACCAGTTTATGCTTCAATATCAATACTCTTTTAAAGCGGAAAGTATAGCGAAACAACAAAAATGCCGAGAACTTTGCAATACGTGTGACGTCACAGATTGCAACTAGGTTGTTTTTGCTTACGTCAGCTAGACTCCTATCCATTTATTTTATTATCCATGCTATCACACTGCCCCCATTATGTTTGACAAGATGAAATCTATTTGTTGATGGTTCCTAATTGGATACATGTGGTCTCAAATTTTTATAGAAAGACAATTTTATCGAATTGTTTCTGGATTTTTTTTTGTATTTTGCTGATGGTAAGTTATTGATTTCAGGTCTTCGGCAGCAGACTCGTGACCAGGATCGGATTTTCCTACTTTATACACATACCAAAAATTCTTGATTTGAACCACATTTCCAAACAAGTTTCGGGCAAGCTTTCCAATTTCACAGAAATGTCTTTCATTTTAAAAATAATTAATATGAAGCATTAGAAAATACCCAGATTGCCTTCAGGACGCTATAAGAACTTCTTCGAACCAGATTTGCTTTGCATCCAACTGTGGCCTTAGCGTACGTCCATTCTGGTTTGAATTAAGCTACATCCATTCACCAGATGACAACTACCAACTGACTTCCTTGTAACTTTGTCAAAAATACCAATTACCATCATAAAATTCTCTGGTGACCAAAATTTCAGAATCACTTGACACACAAATGCACCGTGCATATCTCATGGTTAAGAACACCACCATGTATTCTTGTTAAACCACACAAAGTCCTGGATAATGGTATAGTCTCTTGACTACCATGATAAAATTCTCTGGTTACCAAAATTTCAGAATCAATTCCTTCACAAATGCACCATGCATCTCTCATGGTTAAGAACCACCATGTATTCTACAGTTATACCACAATGTCCTGGATAATGGTAAAGTCTCTTGACTGCCATGATAAATTCTCTGGTTACCAAAATTTCAGAATCAATTCCTTCACAAATGCACCATGCATCTCTCATGGTTAAGAACCACCATGTATTTTACAGTTACATAACACAGTGCCCTGGATAATGGTAAAGTCTCTTGACTGCCATGATAAATTCTCTGGTTACAAAAATTTCAGAATCAATTCCTTGACAAATGCACCATGTATCTCTCATGGTTAAGAACCACCATGTATTTTACAGTTACACAACACAGTGCCCTGGATAATGGTAAAGTCTCTTGACTGCCATGATAAATTCTCTGGTTACCAAAATTTCAGAATCAATTCCTTCACAAATGCACCATGCATCTCTCATGGTTAAGAACCACCATGTATTCTACAGTTATACCACAATGTCCCGGATAATGGTAAAGTCTCTTGCCTACCATGATAAAACTCTCTGGTTACCAAAATTTCAAAATCAATTGACTCATGGATGTCTTGTGGTTAAGAATTAACCACCATGTATTCTACAGTTATACCACAATGTCCTGGATGATGGTAAAGTCTCTTGACTGCCATGATAAATTCTCTGGTTACCAAAATTTCAGAATCAATTCCTTCACAAATGCACCATGCATCTCTCATGGTTAAGAACCACCATGTATTCTACAGTTATACCACAATGTCCTGGATAATGGTAAAGTCTCTTGACTGCCATGATAAATTCTCTGGTTACCAAAATTTCAGAATCAATTCCTTCACAAATGCACCATGCATATCTCATGGTTAAGAACCACCATGTATTTTACAGTTACATAACACAGTGCCCTGGATAATGGTAAAGTCTCTTGACTGCCATGATAAATTCTCTGGTTACCAAAATTTCAGAATCAATTCCTTCACAAATGCACCATGCATCTTTCATGGTTAAGAACCACTATGTATTTTACAGTTACATAACACAGTGCCCTGGATAATGGTAAAGTCTCTTGACTGCCATGATAAATTCTCTGGTTACCAAAATGTCAGAATCAATTATTTCACAAATGCACCATGCATCTCTCCTGGTTAAGAACCACCATGTAATCTACAGTTATACCACAATGTCCTGGATAATGGTAAAGTCTCTTGACTACAATGATAAAATTCTATGGTTACAAAAATTTCAGAATCGATTGCTTGACAAATGCACCATGCAAGTCTCATGGTTAAGAACCACCATGTATTCTACAGTTATACCACAATGTCCTGGATAATGGCAAAGTCTCTTGACTACCATGATAAAATTTTCTGCATCAAATGTACCATGCATCTCTAATGGTTATCAGAACCACCATGTATTCTACAGTTACACCACACAGTGTCCTGGATAATGGTAAAGTCTCTTGACTACCATGATAAAATCCTCTGGTTACCAAAATTTCAGAATCAATTGACTTACAAATGCACTATGCATCTCTCATGGTTAAGAACCACCATGTATTCTTGTAACACTACACAATGTCCTGGATAATGGTTTAAGTCTCTTGACTACCATGATAAAATTCTCTGGTTACCAAAGTTTCCAAATCAATTGACTTACAAATGCATCTACCATGCATCTCTCAAGGTTAAGAACCACCATCCCTTCTGCAGTTCTACCATGTTACGTCCTGGGTAATGGTAAAGTCTCTTGACTGCCATGATAAAATTCTCTGGTTTCCAAAATTTCAGAATCATTTGGCTCACAAATGCTAAACTAGCGATAAGCTGTAAAGTTTAAGAGAGAAATAATGACCTCATAATGGCCCTTGATTAATCACAAACCCACTCTGTAGGGTAGTATATATTAATCACTGCATAATTAATCCCAGCATATATTAATCACTAAATAAAGCCATATAACTACGTCACAGGGCGGTATATAAATACCTATATAGACCATAATTATACATGATATTATTAACTTATATATAAATTCATATTTTGACTATTATTATTACATAATTATTACATGTGCAAAGCTGAGACGGTATTGCAGGTACGTATATACAGGTAGTAAGAAAAGATCTTGGAAAGTCGGTGCCAGAATATGTGGAGATGGTATGGAGATGAAGCAGTTGGAGACATACGAAGAGAAGTGTACAAGAAGAAGTGTACATTATTACATACATATTACATATTACTCTATATTAATTAATAATATGCCATAATTACATTACAGTGCAGTTTATAAATTCCTAGATAGACCATAATTATATTATTATTAACTTATATATCATATTTTAACTATAATTATTACATATTCTTACTTATTATTATACATACATATTATATATTACATACATATTACATATTAATCCGTATTAATTAATATACCCTAATTACATCACAGTGCAGTATATGAATCCCTATATACACCATAATTATATATATTATTAACTTATATATATCATATTTTAACTACAATTATTACGTAATTATTACATATTCTTAATACGTATTATTATACATACATATTAAATATTATTACATACATATTACTCTATATTAATTAATAATATGCCCTAATTACATCACAGTGCAGTATATAAATCCCTATGTACACCATAATTATACGATATTATTAACTTATATATATCATATTTTAATTATAATTATTACATAATTATTACATATTCTTAATACGTATTATACATATATATTAAATATTATTACATACATATTACATATTACTCTATATTAATTAATAATATGCCCTAATTACATCACTGTGCAGTATATAAATCCCCAGATAGACCATAATTATATTATTATTAACTTATATATATCATATTTTAATTATAATTATTATATAATTATTACATATTCTTAATACGTATTATTATACATAGGCTATATATTAAATATTATTACATACATATTACTCGATATTAATTAATAATATGCCCTAATTACATCACAGTGCAGTATATAAATCCCCAGATAGACCATAATTATATTATTATTAACTTATATATATATCATATTTTAATTATAATTATTACATAATTATTACATAATTATTACATATTCTTACTTATTATTATACATACATATTATATATTACATACATATTATTCTATATTAATTAATAATATGCCCTAATTACATCACAGTGCAGTATATAAATCCCTATATACATATTAAATATTATTACATACATATTACATATTACTCTATATTAATTAACAATATGCCCTAATTACATCACAGTGCAGTATATAAATCCCTATATACACCATAATTATATGATATTATTAACTTATATATATCATATTTTAACTATAATTATTACGTAATTATTACATATTCTTAATACGTATTATTATACATATATATTAAATATTATTACATACATATTACATATTACTCTATATTAATTAATAATATGCCCTAATTACATCACTGTGCAGTAGATAAATCCCCAGATAGACCACAATTATATTATTATTAACTTATATATATCATATTTTAATTATAATTATTACATAATTATTACATATTCTTACTTATTATTATACATACATGTTATATATTACATACATATTATTCTTTATTAATTAATAATATGCCCTAATTACATCACAGTGCAGTATATAAATCCCTATATACACCATAATTATATGATATTATTAACTTATATATATCATATTTTAAGTATAATTATTACGTAATTATTACATATTCTTAATACGTATTATTATACATATATATTAAATATTATTACATACATATTACATATTACTCTATATTAATTAATAATATGCCCTAATTACATCACTGTGCAGTATATAAATCCCCAGATAGACCATAATTATATTATTATTAACTTATATATATCATATTTTAACTATAATTATTACGTAATTATTACATATTCTTAATACGTATTATTATACATATATATTAAATATTATTACATACATATTACATATTACTCTATATTAATTAATAATATGCCCTAATTACATCACTGTGCAGTATATAAATCCCCAGATAGACCATAATTATATTATTATTAACTTATATATATCATATTTTAATTATAATTATTACATAATTATTACATATTCTTAATACGTATTATTATACATATATATTAAATATTATTAGATACATATTACATATTACTCTATATTAATTAATAATATGCCCTAATTACATCACTGTGCAGTATATAAATCCCCAGATAGACCATAATTATATTATTATTAACTTATATATATCATATTTTAATTATAATTATTACATAATTATTACATATTCTTAATACGTATTATTATACATATATATTAAATATTATTACATACATATTACATATTACTCTATATTAATTAATAATATGCCCTAATTACATCACAGTGCAGTATATAAATCCCCAGATAGACCATAATTATATTATTATTAACTTATATATATATCATATTTTAATTATAATTATTACATAATTATTACATATTCTTACTTATTATTATACATACATATTATATATTACATACATATTATTCTATATTAATTAATAATATGCCCTAATTACATCACAGTGCAGTATATAAATCCCTATATACATATTAAATATTATTACATACATATTACATATTACTCTATATTAATTAACAATATGCCCTAATTACATCACAGTGCAGTATATAAATCCCTATATACACCATAATTATATGATATTATTAACTTATATATATCATATTTTAACTATAATTATTACGTAATTATTACATATTCTTAATACGTATTATTATACATATATATTAAATATTATTACATACATATTACATATTACTCTATATTAATTAATAATATGCCCTAATTACATCACTGTGCAGTAGATAAATCCCCAGATAGACCACAATTATATTATTATTAACTTATATATATCATATTTTAATTATAATTATTACATAATTATTACATATTCTTACTTATTATTATACATACATGTTATATATTACATACATATTATTCTTTATTAATTAATAATATGCCCTAATTACATCACAGTGCAGTATATAAATCCCTATATACACCATAATTATATGATATTATTAACTTATATATATCATATTTTAAGTATAATTATTACGTAATTATTACATATTCTTAATACGTATTATTATACATACATATTAAATATTATTACATACATATTACATATTACTCTATATTAATTAATAATATGCCCTAATTACATCACAGTGCAGTATATAAATCCGTATATACACCATATAATTACATCACAGGGCTGTATATAAGTCCCTGTTAGACCATAATTACATCAAAGGCACTATATTGTAGGAAGCAATTTTGTATTGGGGGGCTGGTGAGTTAGGGGTGATTCTAAGGTCATTATTTCCCTCTCAAACTTTACAAATTATCGCTAGTTTACAAACCCGGTTGCTATGGCCCTGCAGGGCAATACATAAATCCCTGTACAGGCCATATAGTTACATCACAATCGTTCATAGGACATATCTTCAATCATCACTTCATCTCTTTAACAGCGACCGGTATTCTGCATCTGTAAACCAGATGTATCTTTCTTTGTGTAGAAGAATCAGAATTATGAGGTGGTTAATCAGGTTGCATCTTTTTAATAATTCAACTGCTCTCCCTTTGTGAGCTGTTTCAACTTCTAACCTATGACGAATGCGTTGCATAGCGAATAAAGACGAAATCTCCAGGAAATCTTCATCAGAACATAAAAGATTCTTCCCCTTCTTTAACTCATCTTACAATTTGGGAAGTGAATGAAATGAAGAATTAAAGTAAGATTCAATCAGTTATGAATGCATCGTGGGATGTTCGGCCTGAAATGGCACCATTTCGTGAAAGGCGTTTAAATGGGACAACTTTAGGGAATTGTTATATGTGTTAGACAAGCTCACCAATGGTCTACCAGGGAATCAAATGAAGAGGAAGTTTGAAATTGGACGTCTTAGGGATAAATAACACAATGCTTCAAGATATCTCTTAATTCTTGCTTAACATCCATAAAGCAGAGTTGTTTCAGCAACTTCGTTCTTTGTATGAGAAAAAAATTTTCCCCTTCCTCAATCTTACACAAAGCAAAGTTGTTATTCAGGATTTCATGTCAGAGTTTACAGACAATCTTAGGACAACTAATGTTCTGTTGACTAAATTTAACCGTTTGGTTTTGTTTGCTAGTGCGTGCTGTCGCGTTCTTCAGTTGGGTATGAAGGCGCGTGCTGTTCGTTGTTATATTACACATGGACGCAATATTGCTGTCACGAAATTCGGCAGGAGAACCGAAAGTACGCACATGCATGCAAACAAAACCAAACGGTTAAATTTAGTCAATAGAACTTTGATAGTTGTCCCAAGATTGTCTGTAAACTCAGGCATGAAACTCTGAGTAACGTTTGTTTTGTACTTAATTTCATAAGTAAAGCTCTACTATAAAGTATTGAGCACTCTTCATAGCTCTACCATAAGGTATTGAGCAGTCTTCATAATAGAACTTGAAAACGTCTACAGTTCATATTTCATCTTTTTCGACTTTCAAGTTTTTATTTCTCCCTTTTTGGACGCATATTGTTCTTGAAAGAAATGCAATCCTTCATAGGACATTGTAATTGGAAGAAAAGCAATCCATCACAGGACATTGTAACCTCATCAATCTTGCTTTAACAGCGACCGGTGTTCTGCATCTGGAAAACAGAGTTGTTCGATTGTACCTTTCTTTGTGTAGAAGAATAAGAATTATGAGGTGGTTAATCAGTTTGCATCTTTTTGATAATTCAACTATACTCTCCCTTTGTAAGCAGTTTGAACTTCTAACCTATGACGAATGCGTCGCATAGCGAATAAAAAGGACATTTCCAAGAAATCTTCATCTACTTTGAGTTCTCTTAAGGAATAACATAAAAGATTCTTTCCCGTTCTTTAACTCATCTTACAATTTGGGAAATGAATGAAATGAAGAATTAAAGTAAGATTCAATCAGTTATGAATGCACCGTGGGATGTTCGGCCTGAAATGGCACCATTTCATGAAAGGCCGTCCAAATGGGACAACCTTAGGGAATCGGAAGATGAGTTAGACAAGCTCACCGATGGTCTACCAGGGAATCGATTGAAAGAGGAAGTTTGACATAATAATTGAAAGAAAGACAATCCTTCACAGGACATCTCTTCAATCTTGCTTTAACAGCGACCGGTGTTGTGCATCTGTAAACCAGAGTTGTTCAAGTGCATCTTTCTTTGTGTAGAAGAATTATGAGGCGGTTAATCAGTTTGCATCTTTTTGATAATTCAACTACTCTCCCTTTGTGAGCTGTTTGAACTTTTAACCTATTACGAATGCGTCGCATAGCGAAGAAAGACGAAATCTCCAGGAAATCTTCATCAGAACATAAACGATCCTTTCTCCTTCTTTAACTCATCTTACAATTTGGGAAATGAATGAAATGAAGAATTGAAGGAAGATTCAATCAGTAATGAATGCACCGTGGGATGTTTGGGCTGAAATAACACCATGGTGAATCCCTGTCGTGAAAGGCGTCCAAATGGGACAACTACAGGGAATTGTTATATGTGTTAGACAAGCTCACCAATGGTCTACCAGAGAATCAATTGAAGAGGAAGTTTGAAATTGGACGTCTTAGGGATAAATAACACAATGCTTCAAGATATCTCTTAATTCTTGCTTAACATCCATAAACCAGAGTTGTTTCAGCAACTTCGTTCTTTGTATGAGAAGAAAATTTTCCCCTTCCTCAATCTTACACAAAACAAAGTTGTCATTCAGGGTTTCATGTCAGAGTTTACAGACAATCTTAGGACAACTAATGTTCTGTTGACTAAATTTAACCGTTTGGTTTTGTTTGCTAGTGCGTGCTGTCGCGTTCTTCAGTTGGGTATGAAGGCGCGTGCTGTTCGTTGTTATATTACACATGGACGCAATATTGCTGTCACGAAATTCGGCAGGAGAACCGAAAGTACGCACATGCATGCAAACAAAACCAAACGGTTAAATTTAGTCAATAGAACTTTGATAGTTGTCCCAAGATTGTCTGTAAACTCAGGGATGAAACCAGAGTAACGACGTTTGTTTTGTACTTAATTTCATAAGTAAAGCTCTACTATAAAGTATTGAGCACTCTTCATAGCTCTACCATAAGGTATTGAGCAGTCTTCATAATAAAACTTGAAAACGTCTACAGTTCATATTTCATCTTTTTCGACTTTCAAGTTTTTATTTCTCCCTTTTTGGACGCATATTGTATTTGGAAGAAATGCAATCCTTCATAGGACATTGTAATTGGAAGAAATGCAATCCTTCATAGGACATTGTAATTGAAAGAAAAGCAATCCATCAGAGGACATTGTAATTGAAAGAAAAGCAATCCATCAGAGGACATTGTAATTGAAAGAAAAGCAATCCATCGGAGGACATTGTAATTGAAAGAAATGCAATCCGTCACAGGACATCTCTTCAATCTTGCTTTAACAGCGACCGGTGATGTCCATCTGTAAACCAGAGTTGTTCGAGTGTACCTTTCTTTGTGTAGAAGAATAAGAATTATGAGGGGGTTAATCAGTTTGCATCTTTTTGATCATTCAACTACTCTCCCTTTGTATAAGCAGTTTGAAGTTCTAACCTATGACGAATGCGTCGCATAGCGAATAAAGAAGAAATTTCCAAGAAATCTTCATCTACTTTGAGTTCTCTAAGGAAGAACATAAAAGATTCTTTCCCCTTCTTTAACTCATCTTACAATTTGGGAAATGAATGAAATGGAGAATTGAAGGAAGATTCAATCAGTAATGAATGCACCATGGGATGTTCGGGCTGAAATAACACCATGGTGTATCCCTGTCATGAAAGGCGTCCAAATGGGACAACACCAATGGTCTACCAGAGAATCAATTGAAGAGGAAGTTTGAAATTGGACGTCTTAGGGATAAATAACACAATGCTTCAAGATATCTCTTAATTCTTGCTTAACATCCATAAACCAGAGTTGTTTCAGCAACTTCGTCCTTTGTACGAGAAAAAAATTTTCCCCTTCCTCAATCTTACACAAAACAAAGTTGTTATTCAGGGTTTCATGTCAGAGTTTACAGACAATCTTAGGACAACTAATGTTCTGTTGACTAAATTTAACCGTTTGGTTTTGTTTGCTAGTGCGTGCTGTCGCGTTCTTCAGTTGGGTATGAAGGCGCGTGCTGTTCGTTGTTATATTACACATGGACGCAATATTGCTGTCACGAAATTCGGCAGGAGAACCGAAAGTACGCACATGCATGCAAACAAAACCAAACGGTTAAATTTAGTCAATAGACCTTTGATAGTTGTCCCAAGATTGTCTGTAAACTCAGGCATGAAACTCTGAGTAACGTTTGTTTTGTACTTAATTTCATAAGTAAAGCTCTACTATAAAGTATTGAGCACTCTTCATAGCTCTACCATAAGGTATTGAGCAGTCTTCATAATAGAACTTGAAAACGTCTACAGTTCATATTTCATCTTTTTCGACTTTCAAGTTTTTATTTCTCCCTTTTTGGACGCATATTGTATTTGGAAGAAATGCAATCCTTCATAGGACATTGTAATTGGAAGAAATGCAATCCTTCATAGGACATTGTAATTGAAAGAAAAGCAATCCATCAGAGGACATTGTAATTGAAAGAAAAGCAATCCATCAGAGGACATTGTAATTGAAAGAAAAGCAATCCATCAGAGGACATTGTAATTGAAAGAAATGCAATCCTTCACAGGACATCTCTTCAATCTTGCTTTAACAGCGACCGGTGATGTCCATCTGTAAACCAGAGTTGTTCGAGTGTACCTTTCTTTGTGTAGAAGAATAAGAATTATGAGGGGGTTAATCAGTTTGCATCTTTTTGATCATTCAACTATACTCTCCCTTTGTATAAGCAGTTTGAATTTCTAACCTATGACGAATGCGTCGCATAGCGAATAAAGAAGAAATTTCCAAGAAATCTTCATCTACTTTGAGTTCTCTAAGGAAGAACATAAAAGATTCTTTCCCCTTCTTTAACTCATCTTACAATTTGGGAAATGAATTTAATGGAGAATTGAAGGAAGATTCAATCAGTTATGAATGCACCGTGGGATGTTCGGCCTGAAATGGCACCATGGTGTAACCCTGTCGTGAAAGGCGTCCAAATGGGACAACTAGAGGGAATCGGAAGATGTGTTAGACAAGCTCACCAATGGCCTACCAGGGATCTTGCTTTAACAGCGACTGGTGTCATGCATCTGTAAACCACAGTTGTTTTGTTTTGTACTTAATTTCATAAATAAGCTCTACCATAAAGTATTGAGCACTCTTCATAGCTCTACCATAAGGTATGGATAAGAATTAAATGTTTCTCCATCTTCTTGCTGTGGCAAATGTTCCTTGGGATCCCAAAATCCCACTTGCAGGTCTAAGTGAGATAATATAAAAAGTGGTAGAATGCTTTTAACACAATCAAAAGGTGTTTACATGGAGTAAAAAGATGAGAAGATATGGAATGGTACGCATCTCCAAGAAGATGCATAGCCGTACCAGAAAACACCCTCTCACCCTCCTTGTTTTCTAATGCTTCATATACCAAAATATTCTCATATTAGGGTTTTTGGCATTTAACAAATTTAAAATTTCATAGTTTCTAAAAAAATGTGTACAAAGTAGGAATGACCAAAAGTCGAGAAGATGAATGGCCAACACACAATGGAACATGGAGTGATCGAACATTTCTGTTGACGATAATCAAAGAACAATGTCGATGGCTTGTCTTAATACTACTGGTGAATCTGAATGATGGAGGACAGTATACGATGTGGTGAATGTGAAGAAGTTGACGATGAGACGATTTGTGCTTGGTTAATTAGCACTGCAGAAATTAATTCATTGCTTTGGAGGTGGCAAGTATACTGATTTTTTCTCAGCAAAATTTCTTTCTGGCTTTTTAGATTGCACAGATCTGAAGCAGATGACGTGTTAGATAGTGGCTTAGATTGTACTGATCTGCATGTACAAAGTCTAATTATCAAAACTTGATTAGTGCTAACCCTCAGCTAAAATTTAACACGCTCTTTTAGTTTGTGTATTTATATACACATTTGCTTATTTCAAAACATCAGAGAAGAAAACTCCTGCTGAATACAGACAAAATTTCTAAAGAAATATTTCCAAATTCAAAAACAAGCTGTTAGAAAGTTTACTTTGAATTTTATGTTAAGCAGGCCAGGGCCCGGTTGGGCTATTGGGTTGATTAACACAAACCTACCAATTAAAGCTCATCAATCAAGTTGAATATGTTTTTCCAGAAATCTTTTTTTGGTTCAATAGAGGTTTTATTTTCTAATGTTCTGAAACAAATAATCATGGAGAAATTAATAAACAAAAACAGCTGGTTAAAATTTAACCCAGGGTTTAAGCACTAATCAGGCTTTGAAAAACTGCCCCCCAAGCGGCCCTGTTAGAATTCTGGTGGTCAGACATTAACATGCATTGCACTATATACCACTTTATACACAATAAAGTGCCTATAGAACCACTGTGTGTTAATGTTCAAATTTAAAGTCGAATAACTGTTCACTTGTTTGTGTGGGAAATCAGGTTTATCTATTTGGCAAAGCATTCAATCCATAAGTCCAGCTTTTCTTTTCTACTCATAGTTTAATAATACATATTCAGATGATACTGTTATGAAAAGCAACTGTGCATTTGTTAAAACAAGAATTTATACTTTCAAACAAGACATTTTAGACTCTTAAAAATATTGAAGAGTTTGCAGTTATTCAGCTATAGTTTATGTATATTACAGATTTTTGTTCTGTACAATTTACACATAGAATGTCATTAGTAATAAAACGTTAGTTCTTTTTTCTGGAAGTCGTGTGGCCACAGGAGCTGTTGGTGGATTCATCTTTGGCAGTTGTGTTTTTTTGTGTATTGCATGCGGGGGCCCCTTGCCCTTAAGTTAGGTTCACATGTGCATCTTTCCTCTAGGCGTACACTCCTGTGGCCTGAAGACGTCGTGCTGTGAAGGTGTGTTTATTCTTACTATGGTTTTTCTTTATTCTTATATAGTCTACTATAGCCATAAATATAGTGAACCTGTTTTTGACCACCAGAATTATTGACAAAGTTGAAAGAAATGCAAAATTTAAAATAATTGTTGCATTCCTTTGTGCTTCGTCTCAGTTTGTATCTGCAATGGTTATTAATACCAATGCAGGTGCAATTATACTTAGAAGGTGTAAATATCATGGTTACATTTAGAAGGTGAATACCATGATTTCCAAAAGTAAGACATTCATTCGAAAAAATGTTCAAGAGAGAAGGTTTAATTACATTAATGTTTGTTTTCTTAATTACTTTTGGAAATTCATGGCAATGTAATACCCTAAATCCTCTATTTAGCCCCATCCCTCTAAGATAAGTCCCTTCTTTGTTAAAATTTCTTAGCCCCCCCCCCCCTCCAAATTAAGACTCCACAACTTCAGAAAGGATATATCTGAAAATAAATTAGACTTTCTATAATAGAGGATTTATGGTAGTACCTGCTCTCCCCGTGAAGCTAGCCATAGGAACCAATTGAGATTTTTTATAATGTTTCAAATGAATTATTATGAAAGTAGACAAAAGTTTTTGAAAATACCAGTTAGGTTTTGAAACACTGCATGTCCTCCACGACGAGCGTTAAGTCATGATATCTCTCTTTTCATGTACTTAAATTGGAGCTTGTATAGTCACCATTAGGCTGAATACCTGAATGGGTGGTCTCGCCTCCTTCCTGAGGCCTTTAGACTGAGCAATCCCGCTATATTGCAGTGTCTGGTTTTGAAACACTGCATGTCCTCCACGACGAGCGTTAAGTCATGGAATCTCTTTTTTCATGTGCTTAAATTGGAGCTTGTATAGTCACCATTAGGCTGAATAGCTAAATGGGTGGTCTCGCCTCCTTCCTGAGGCCTTTAGACTGAGCAATCCCGCTATATTGCAGTGTCAAATTTCACGTGAGTTTTTTAGAATGGTTCCAAAAAAAGTCCTGGTAAGATGTGACCTGCAACCTGTTCCTATGGCTAGTTTCACTTCTAACCCTTATTATATACCTTCTAAATCTAATCATTTTTACAAATATTCACACAGGATAAATCACTTAGTATTTCTGTGTACATTTCGTGTGAGAATCCGGCTGAGGGTTTTTCTCCGGGCAACTCCGGTTTCCCTCCTATTTATTCTTAACATGAAAACCGTTCATGTTTTGAGAATTTCTGTTTGGACATATGGTCTGTTCGATTTTTCGGTGATTTAAAAGTTAACACAAAATCTTGACCTTGTATCGACAGACCAGAAAAACAAAAACAAAAAAGAGTGACCATGTTTGGAACCATGTTTGCGTTATTGGGTTAAATTCCTAATTCACTCTTTGTTGATTTCAAAACTTTTATAAAGCCAGTTACTTTTTGCTAAACCAGTGTGCGGTGCTAACCTTTTAAAAATTCAAAAATTTTAACAAAGTTTACAGTACAATATTTTTTGGTACAACTTTTCACATAAAATATTTCAATGCGAAAACTTTAATTAAGTTATGCACATAAGTTCTGTCCAGTTGAAACTGTTTCCTTTAGAAGTCAGCAGAGTAACTAGCTTCAGTCGCCTGAACTGTAATGTTATATCCTTTAATTTAAATGTACTATCTTACTTATACATATTGGTATTGTAAACAAACCAATAGTTTATAATATTTTCTTACTTGTTTCCTGCAAGCATACCTTCAGCTATCTTGGAGTACCACTCTGAGATGAAACCACTGGAGATTGTGACAAATACTGTGAGTTTGTGGTAGCCGAAGATGATGGCCTGCTGCTCGTTTTTGGCTTTGGTGCCTTGGCCAGGATCCCCGGCATCTCTTTTTTGTCATCGTAGTTTTTAAGAATTTCATAAAGTTTTAAAATTTCCTGCGTAATTTCGAGAATTTTCTCCATATCAACACAAAGCTCTTTGAAAAATTCGCTGGCGTCCTTGTTTTTGACAACACAAGCCATATAGATGGCTGCCAGGGCAATTTGGTATGGAGGATACAGGAGGCAAACGTCAGTCCGCAGGCTGTCATTAACGATGCGCCATGCTAACGAGAGGAAGTTGTCGTCTTCGGACATCTCTCGAACATATTGAGTTATTGATCGATAGGGGTGGTAAAGGATTAGACAACAGTTCATCAGTTCAAGAATAAAGAATTCACATTCGTAAACCTGAAATAATAATACTCGGGTATCACTATCTTTTACATCTTGTATAATAATAGGGGGCACCCTCCCTGCCCCTTGTAGATATTAGGCAAGACTCCCTCTCCCCCACTAAATGGGTCGGCCCACACCCCATTGTTACACCCCATTTGATACTTCTTTTTCAGGTAGTTCATTTTCAGACACAAGCCACCCCCACGCTAATAAAACATACCTGGTTTATTCTGTATGGATATTCACAATTAAACACAGCCATAAATTTATTCTTTACCACTGTAGCACAAGTTTGAATCAACCGATTGTTCGAAATCACTCCATTCTCCTCGACTTTCGAGGCCAAATACAAACAGGTCGGCGCCAGAAGCAAAGGATCGATGTTTTTCAGCGAATTTTTGGAGTAGAACCTTTTGAAATAATGCGTGGCCGCGGCTATCACTTGCTGGCGATGTTTTAAATGCTCGCCCAGCGCTTGAATAAAGTTTGCGTATAGAATGTGAACTTTTTGGTATTCTTCTGCAGTTAAGTATTTTAAGTCCTCCTGGCGTCCGGCCGAAATAACTAACTCTTCTTTCGTCAAAAGCCAGTACTTGTAATGAGTTGAAAGCCAGAAATTCGCAGCCATGTTGTTTGATATTCCTTCGAAGACACGTTTATTTAATATGTGAATAAATTTATGGCAAATTATGCAAATTAGTAATATTTACAAAGTTGTCGTGCGAGTAAGTTTGTGCACACCCTTTTCGAGTTAAGCCCCTGCCACGCCCTTTTTCGCCGGGGCATAACTCGGAGTCAATTAACGATTTAACCATTCGAGTTAAGCCCCGACATTTGGTGGATGTAAACAAGTGTTGCGTGTATACTCGCAAAAATATTGGCAAAAGTAAGGGCTAAATAATATATTATTTAGTTTTTAAAGCCGTAATTGTCGCCCTGAATGAGCTGTTGTTTACAAATCCTTATTGAACTCTCTCGTTTCACGATGTCATTGTGTGTATAAAACTGTAGGCAAAGCAACAGAGATCTATGTACTTGATATATTTCTTAACATTGCTGAAATTTTACATTCTCCCTCCTTACATACTGCGATTTGCAGTTGAGCTTCGAGACAGGACGTTTTACCGCTCAGTTTGATCGTTGAAACGCACAAGTTACCAAGGGCAAATTCAAATGTTGTCAATCGGAAATGCGAATGTTTTCATGGGAAATTTAGGTACTTTCGGCCAATCACATAATTTCTGCGCCTTCTTCACTATGATTAACTTGTGCGTTTCAACGATCAAACTGAGCGGTAAAACGTCCTGTCTCGAAGCTCAACTGCAAATTGCAGTATATTTGCCAATTAATTGACTTCGAGTTAGGCCCTCGGCGAAAAAGGGCGTGGCAGGGGCTTAACTCGAAAAGGGCTTAACTCGGAGGGCTTAACTCGAAAAATACCTACTTCAAGTTTGTGTGTGATAAATGACGTGTTGCAATGTTTCCGGGCTTTTTTAGGCCTTTAGTTTGTGACTGTTCTCACTAGAGTTCCAGTTTTCTACAGGCGAAAACAAAACTGATTAATTGGAAAACCTACACTGTCTAAACTATCTTTATTTCTATTTTTCATGCAGTTTTGAACAGCGGCCCATCAGCTTAATAGGCTGTGAGATGGCAACGTTAGGACGACGGCTGTCCGTACAATGTAGCATAATCCGTTTGTAGCACAAAAGAAATGAATAATTAAAAGTATAGCACGAGCTTTAGACATCGTCCAAGCTCTGTTGACGACGGCAAAATGCATATTTTTACGTCTCGTAAAGTACGCTAGTATTTCAAGCCGTGGCAGACAATTTTTTAGCAGAGTCCATCAAAATTGCTCTAAATTGATTAAAGCTCGAGCGTTTTACTCGTTAGAAATGGTATTAATTAAATTCATATACGAAAGTAAATGCAAGACAATATTTCCATACAATCATTTATTTCAAACAGTTTGTTTAGCCGTCGTCCCGACGACGATTGTCCAGAAAAGACCGTTCTGTATTCGTCTAAACTAAACTATACTGAATATATAGCTTTACGAGTTCTTGAACTATACTGAATAGTTTTATAAGTTCTGAAGTCTGAACTGTCCTCCCGGTTCATAACTGCTAAATCAGTCGTCCTTTAGCTTTGAGCTTGCGGCACGACAGACGCCGTCCTCTCTTGGTGATACACGCAGCAACACAAGTACATCTTAAACTCGGCTGCGTATTGTTTATCGCAAAAGAAATACAGGATAGGATTAAGACACGTATTTAAGAATGCCAGAATTATTAACGCATTATGCAACTGATTTCTTAAATTGACCAAGCCCAGCTGAAACAAGCAAAAGTAAAACTGATCCGGAAGCCAGCAGACTACTACGACTGCCGACGCGGCGCAGGCTATACGCGTGAGCCGTTTTAGAGAAGAATTCGAGCCCGAATTTGGCGCAGAGTTTGTTGATATTATTCGGCTGCGGTTTGGAGGCGTGGTTACTGAATTCTGCATGTCGATGATGGAATCATGTCTTCTGAGATGGGAGATTTGAGGAAGTATCCTCGCCGTTTGTTCTTTACGACGGAGCACGATCTTCGTATAGACCAAGATCATCAAGATAGCAGGCAGTACAATCATGCCTAAAAGGAAGAGAAGAATATGGTAACTTTAATTTATTTATAGTCAAAGCGCTGAATATATATATATATATATATCAGTTCTAAACATTTTTCCATAGATGTCCAGTTATGGTGATTCCTTATTGATCGAGAGTTATTTCAGAATCTAAACAAACTACTGAATAAGTCAGTAGTTCTAAACACTTCTCAGTATAAGTTCAACTATTATATATATATGAGCGTGCTCATGAGCATACTGGATTTTGGTGTATGTGTATTTAGAGGAGTATTGTCTATCGTGACAAGAGGGTCCTGTTTCAGTGCTGGCTGGCACATCATTTTAGTCTAATTGCAGTGGCGTAGCCAGTGGAGGGGGGGGGGCACCGCCCTCCAATCTCCACAAAAACCATTCTCTCAAAAAGTCTAAATCTAAGGTGACACGAATCCCTCTTCTAGTTTTCCAAGGTCACTTTCCCATGCAATTCATTTAGTTCGTAGGAGAAATAATTGGTAAAAAAATCATCTCTTCGATGTATTTTATATAATCTTCGGAGTTCCGCAAAATTTCAGTGGCTCGTGTGAGGTGGCCAGCCTGAAATCTGTGCGTCTCAAATCATTACCATACCTATAAACATGAATACCGCAACACTCTTGCTCCTTGCTGAACTGTCAATCTGGTTCCATTTACAAACACTAGTCTCATCACTTTGCACGAAATACCTAACGTTTAACGCAGTATTGATCTCAAACCCAAACCCAGCGAACCACGGTAGAATAACCATAATTGCTATGACGTTTCCCGAGATACTAAACCGCCTGTAAGACATGGGCCGAAAAACTGCGACCAACCGATCCACAGCTAACATTAAACATGTATAAACAGACGTAATAGCGAGAGCAAACGCGATATATCTGGACCAGATTAAACTACAAAATAATTGTCTTGACCATGCGCCTTCGGGCAGCTCGTAAGCGTCTGAGGGTAGGACAAAACCGGGCAAACCAAAAAGTGCAATTGCTGTTAAGATATCTTGGACAGCGAGAGCCAATAGGAGGCAAGAATGGACCTTTTTCGACCAATCCCGTTTCTTTAGAAGTAAGAAGACGACGAGACCGTTTCCGATGAAAGCAACGACTGAAATTATGGCAAGGAAAATTTCGACGACGCCAGCATTTCCCATTTTCGATTTTCAAATTATACGAGTGTCTAAATAATCAATAATTATATCTTGTCCTTTAATTCGACTTTGTAAAATTCAAGTCCATAAATTAAAATCTCTAATGCCGAATGACTTTTATCCTGACAATAAAACAGTTCCACTTCGACCAATTCTTGGGCCTTGAGAATGCTTTTAAATAGTTGATATCCTGTCCTGTTTCCTTTCTAAAATCTCTCACAAAAATTATTTTTCCAACCAATTCTTAACTATCAATTTCCGTTCCAATTCAATGTCAGGTTTGAACAGAAAAGATAGAGATCATGCATGACAACAAAGTTCGAAAGGCCTTGTAAATGCTTTGAAAATATATCCGTATATCTTGTCCTTTTCATACCTTTTCTCCATCCAAACCATGCATAAAATGACCACTGCCCGCTTACATGGTTTCGCGCCACTCTGCCGGTAAATTGTGTGAATACAATGCGCTCTTTGAAAACAATTATCACAAAGCACGGACCTCTAGTCTTAACTTTAGCTAGCGCTTTGAAAACTAACTAGCTCTTTGCGTTTCTCGTTCTCTTTTTCTCCGTCGTTTTCAAAGGATCAAAAAATGCCTTAGCCAAGACTCGAGACAAGAGCTAATGAACGTTCCCACTCAAATCCAATCCTTCTGATTGGAAAACTGAGTTCCATATATGGAAATAATTACAACACACGGAAGTGTCCAATTACGTTTCGTCATCGCTTTTAAATGTAATCCCTTTGGCTTTTCATATTTCAATCCCCTCAAGAAATATTCAATACCAAAAACCTGATGAAATGACGAAGAATGTAGAATAACAAACAACTTGGCTGTTCCTTTATTGGCGTTTCAAATTAAACGTAAACTTTTCGAAACTATAGTGCGCCAAAGACTTGTAAAACCTTGACACCTGGCATTGATAAAAGTAGTATATGTCACTTCAGCAATATCGAATCCATCATCAATATTGTTATTAAATATGTAGTTGAGTTAATCTATTCATTTTGCTATTTAGTCCGGATATGGCATTTATAAAAAGATGAAAAGATAATTGAAATTGACTTAAAAATCTCCACACACGTCAGTCAGCATGCCTTTTATACATAATGGCCTGACAGGAGTCATCTTTTATTGATCCAGTGTTACTACTGAAGGAAATCTAAACTAATTTTACTTACACTAGATAGCTCTATCAGTTCTGAATTGTTCTTCCTAGAGGTCCAGAAAGTAGTATTATCTCTTATTGATTCAGTGTTACTACAGGAGAAAACCTAAACTAATTTATTTAGACTTGATAGCTCTATCAGTTCTAAATTGTTCTTCCTATAGAGGTCCGGAAAGTATCATCTCTTATTGATTCAGTGTTACTACAGGACTGGAAACCTAAACTAATTTATTTATTTCTCGATCAGTTCTAAATTGTTCTTCCTAGAGGTCCAGTAAGGCTCATCACTTATTGATCCAGTGTTATTACAGGAGGAAAGCTAAACTAAACTAAACAAACTTTACTACTGGATAACTCTATCAGTTCTAAATTGTTTTTCCTAGAGGTCCAGGACGCATCATCTCTTATTGATTCAATGTTACTACAGGAGCAAACCTAAACTAAACTAATTCTATTTATACTGGATAACTCTATCAGTTCTAAATTGTTCTTCCTAGAGGTCCAGGAAGCATAATCTCTTATTGATTCAGTGTTACTACAGGAGCAAACCTAAACCAATTCTATTTTATACTGGATAGCTCTATCAATTCTAAACTGTTCTTCCTAGAGGTCCAGTAAGTGCAATTACTTATATTTTTCCCCGTTTCGTAGTTCACACCTCAGAAGCATGTGGGCGTATATAGTATCGGCAAGTGTCAAGAATGAATGATGAGCTTTTTTGTGTATGGAACTAGATAAAACGATCATAGGGAATCCGAATTTATGCAAGCACCGTCCTTTGAAAATATCTGTTCATAGCGGACGTAAGTTTATGCTGGGCGCCATATCCGACCAGGGTCTCCTATTTGTATGGCCGATATATATGGTCATAAGTATACAATATAGCGTTTTACTAACGGTAACTTTATTTCATTAAGCAATCAAGGTTTAATTTACGATATAGATAAGGCTATCATCCTAGCTTTAAAATTGGCTGTTCACTTATCTTTGATCTATAGTTAACTTTACTCTTTTACATTTCGTTTTTACTTCTACGTATTTCATTTTAACTTTTAAAAGAATGATAATTCCATTGAATTTTTACAAGTTCAATTCTATCTTTCATCAAAGATTGAATAATAACGACTGTTTTTCAAATTAAATCAGTCTTCAATTTTCAAACCTCCAAATTCCTTTCTTGCAAATCAATTTCAATGTATGTTTCCAAGTTTAGTAATCTCAGTCCTTAGATATAGTTTTTAATTCCTCAGTTATTCAATTCTAACTTTGTTCTAAGACTGCAGCAATCACACCCCAAAACCAATTTTCACATTTTGACCTGCCGATACTTTCCTCAGGTAAACTTCTTCACTTCTAATTCCTTGTCACAATCAATCTTTCTCGCTTGGCTGAAATTAAACATTTCAAAATCAATACCTTCAAATCTCTATACTTCTCTCATCTAAGGGATGATCTATAGTTTCTTCCACTTGTGTCTGCACGACTTGGCTGCGAAACTTACAACACAGTATCGCCTTAAACTCCTCTCTGTACTGCTTGTTCGAGAAACTATACAAGAAAGGATTGAGCATCGTATTCGTGAATGCGAGGATAACCAATGCGTCGTGTAGTGGGGTGCCCATCTCGACCAGATCCAATTGAAACAAACAATAATACAATTGATCCGGCAGCCAACATACGATCACGATAGCCGAAGCTGCACAAGCTACGCGAGTGAGCCGCTTTAAATGAGTAAAAGATTCGCTCTTCTTTGTGTGCTGCCCGCGGCCTGAGTTTTGGGCACGGTTTAAGTCGCCTACGACCGGTCTGATCTTTGTTGAAGATTGCCTAAGCTTTATGACAATCATTGCATAGGCGATGATAATGAGTATGGCCGGCACCAAAATCATGCCAAAAAAGGTTACCAATGCTATGGTAGTCTTCTTCAGTTCACTTTCTGTTATAATCCAACTGCAAACGTACGTTCCATTGACCTCGTTCGAGCGTACGTTTAGTATCGCGCTGATTTCGAGTCCAAATCCAGCGATCCAAGGGAAAATTAGCATGGCTGCGATGACCTTTATAGAGTTACTGAAACGTCTATAAGACATCGGTCTCAGAGCGGCCGACCAGCGGTCGATGGTGAGCATGAGACATGTGTAGACCGAGGCGATTGCTAACGCGAACGGGATATAGCGGGACCACACTACACTGCAATATAACTGGCTCAAGGTTGAATCTGCAGGTGTGTCGTAAACGTCAGCGGATTGGACGAATCCAGGAAGGACCAGCAGACCAATGGCGGTCAAAATGTCTTGAATTGCCAAGGCGAGTAAGAGACATGTGTGAGCTTTCTTTAGCCAGTGACGGTTCTTTATAAACAGGATTACAACAAGGAAGTTCCCAAGTAAGGCGATAATGGCAATAATAGCGAGAAATACTGCCACCACAGCCTGTGCCATTATTTTAGCACTCTCTCACTTGATAACAGGTCACTTTTGTCTTTAAAATTCTGAACCCAAAGTTCCTACTACGTCCAAATTCCTTTTAAAACAGTCAACTTGTTTTAACTTTCAATGGAATCTCGCCCGTTATATTGAAATGAACGCTTTGTTCCTAAGTTATACGATCACTATACTGGACTTCAAAATTCAGAAACCATTGTGCTCAATGCTTCCAAAATCAGTTCGACAAAGCCAACTAGATGTAACTTTTGATAGAATGATCCGGTCCACTGTGCAAATTAATTCCTTCTTCTTCAAACCAAAGTACTCAATGCTCCAAAATGTTTTAAAACAGGCACAGCTGGTTTCAACTTTGAATGAAGCTTCTTTTACTGATGGAATAAGTTCCTTCTCTTTATATCTATAAACGTTTGTTTCAACAATTCAATAGTTCAATCACTGAAAATCTTCAAAACCAAACTGGCAAACGTGAACAAATCCTTTCAAAATCGTCTTAGCTTAGCATGGAGTTTCATTCACTGTGTTAATGTTAGTGACTCTTTGTTTCCGCAATTCAAATGTTTCAATAACAAATTAGTAAGCTTGCTTAAATTATCCTTTAATTACCAGTTTTGAAACTTTCCCGCACACGAACGCACAAAACGAAGAGTTTCCAGCTACCTTTATCTTTATACAATTTCTGCAAGTATATATATATATATCGCCTTTTCTTCTGCACAGAAGAAAGATTGATTTCACTTAATTCTCGCTCGAAAAGTCCTTTCCTTTGTAGTTGTACTTCTAGCTAAGAGCTTAAACAGTTCGGTTTGATTAATCTTTACAATCTCATTAACAAGTGGCTTCGATTTACATAATTAGAATAGCATTTGCTTAGAACTACAATTGGAGAGGCTTCGAATTGTCCGATTTCTTCTTCTTTTCAATTTACTTTGACAGTTCAAAACTTCGCAACAAGGAAGCTTATAGAGAACTTCAATTCGCATACAGTATTCTATCTTTTCTGCCTTGTACTAAACCGATGTCTGTCCAGAAAATCTTTTGCTTGGGGTTACTCTTCAATCGTTAGAGAACGTTTGAATAAAATACAACTGTTCTCAAAAATTTCGTCTGGCAACTTTGAATTTTTAATTCTTATTCAGAAACGACTATCAATTCCCATAATTTGTTCGATGCTTTGACTTTGTTCAATCCTTTGCGCTTCTGAGTCTGCACCTGTTATCTTCTTAAGTTTCTGCTCGGAATATCGTTTGTTTGGAATTGCACTTCAATCGGTTCCAAAACGTTCGCTATTCTTTAGAATTACAATTAGAACAAACTCTTCAGAATTTTCACGAAAAAAATGTATTTCAAGTCCTCGCTTGAAAATCTTTTCCGTATTTTCCGGGTGCAACCTCTTTTTAATTCTCTGTTTTCTTGTATAATATATATCCAAATTTACAGCTTCCTGATCTTCAATTCCCAATGTCCAATTTTAATTTTATACCGCTCAAAAATCCAACAGGAGAAATGTAACAAAAACTGTGACACGCGCACACGCCAAAATGTAAAATCAAATGAAAACCTTGCACCAATGTGATTCAGTTGAAATATGGCGTCGTCAGAGTTTGCCTACGTAAGGAAAAGAGATCTTAGATGAATTTCTATTAGTTATATTATAGTGTTAATTGTCAGCATGTCACATTAAGAGATTTAACGAGGCTTAAATAGATTCTTATTGATGTATAATGTGACCAGCAGATGTGTTTGGAGCAAAACATAATTAAATCTTGCTTTGTCGCTTTGAATTCATGCCGCACAGCCGAATATTTTTATAACGTTGGCTGATTATTTTTGACACTCATTCACAGGATGGATGGAGGCAATTTCTTTTCGATTTCAATATGCCACGTTTCTTGCGACATGACGGCGCATATCTTTTAAGAGTTTGATATGATCTAGGGGCCTACTTAACATCAGCCTCAGTGACATTTGATGTATCAGAGAATGTTAATAGCCAATTTTCTGGCAATTCTATTAATGTTTACAGCGTTTTTCAACAAAGTAAAACTAAATATACTCGCGGAAATAAAATTCGTATATTAAATATTACAAGTCAAAAAAACTGGACCTAATGAAGCCAGATGCCAATGAACAAGTTCCTTTAAATCATATTTTTTGTACTGGCGCCAAACAAAATCGCTCGGAATATAAAGTTACTGAATACAACAGATCGAAGATGGATACATCCTCATTTTCCTGGGAACGAAGATGAGATGGCTAAAAAATAAAACTCTTGTCGTTTGACCAGGGGCGAAACTAGCCCTTTTTAATTAGGGGGGTGTCTGCTAGAATTGCCCTGCGAAAGCCGATGATGCCCTGCAGCAAAATGTTTTTTTTTGGCCATTATTTCTCCCAAAATTGTTCGGACAAATTCCTGTTAAAACATGTATGAAACCCTTATTTTTTTACCAATATCTGTAAAATTTAGGTCTATAAATTCTATTCAATTCTCTCTGGAAGCTACTTAATAACTCTACATTCTATCATTTAAAATCTTTCATTGCCCTGCCAATCCAGATGATTTGCCCTGCCAATCCGTATGATTTGTACGTTGGGGGGGGGGGGGGTTTCGTCCCCGAGTTTGACTCTAATAATTAAAGATGGCAGCAAAAACTATATATATACGCTTCCATCAAATTTGTGTTTCTCGAAATAAGAACGCTATCAATGATTTCCTTATCTCAGGCAAAACCACAGACAACTCGTCTTTGAAGATGCAATGGCGTTGCGTAATAACCGGTGGTTTTACTAAGCACTGTCGTGCAAAAGATAGCGCTAAACCACAAGTTATCAGAGTGAGAAAATAATGTCAATTCTCCTCATTATAATACTGCAGACTTAGAACAAAACAAATAGAAATGGGAGATGTTTGAATGTTCTTTCTTCTGGAAGTGATCAAGAAACTTTTAACTATTGGAAAAGATGTCATGAACTATAGTGTTACAATGCAGTGCACGCGTTTTATGGACGGGCAGAAAACTACGTGAATTAACATTCCAGGAAGACTTCAAGTTTCAAAAAACTTCAAAGAGCATAATCCATTCTTTCCTTACAGTGGCTGGCTGTTGTGGGAGGCTTCGGGGCCTTTACAAGTGCCCCAATAACAGAAGTGTAGGTCAGTCGGAGTCCCAAATATTACCACAACCACTTTTTATTTGATCATGTGGATGAAGAATATTTGTCATTTTTTGGGCTGGACACAAAGGCCTGTTTATATGATCCCGCCTAGACGGAAAACTCGCCTAGTGTTTATATGGACAAAATACGTTGCCGGGATGAAGCCATTTAAGTGCTTGACGTCATATTTTTGTTGCAATAAAGGCATTTACGCATGCTCAAAAGGGAAAAGTTCATCCCGCTAAGCCGGGATGAAGTGTTTATATGGAAATTTTCGTCCCGGCTATGCGGGATGAAGTGTCTATATGGAAATTTTTCATCTCGCTTTGGAGGGATCCCGGCATCTGTTAATAATCATTGTGTCACAGTTTATGTGATTGACATTTTTTGATAAAACTGCTGTCAGGATGCAGGAAAAAGCGTCATAAAATCAAAACGTTTCTGCGCGGCAGCATCCCCTCCCCAGACATACCAAAATCTTTATAGAATCGTCGTGATTTACAGTATTGCTTACCTATGAAATTGAGTTGTTCTCTTCGACTTCACACAAAAGCGAGTCATGCCAAGGGAAAGAATAACAAGTGTTATGATTACGACCATAGGTATCAAAAATATTAATAGACGTCCAATATATCGATCCCTTGAACAATGATAATTTCAAGTCGTATTAATATGTAAATCCATAAATTTCATCTAATTTCATCTAATGATGCACGAGTTATCGTACTATCGTCAGTCTTGGGGATGCAATGAAAAGCGAATATATATAACTGTTACTGTAAACTTTCCTTTAAGCCAATTATATTTGACCTTGAAATTATTTCAACAATTTTTACGGATAGGTTAGTGTGGATGAGCTATATAAGGGTTAATTAATTTTATATTATATTCCGTATCGAAGCTGTTTTTGTTATAGAGAAATGAATATGATAGTCAATTAATTAAAACATGTTTTGTTTTATATGTTCAGCTGTTTGGAGTCTATGACTATGTAGTCAAAATTACAGTAAATTGATTTCTATACTGAATTGCTATAGCTCTATCAGTTCTAAACTGCTTTCTCTAGGCATAAAGATCCAGTAAGAGTAATCTCTTATTGATCCAGTGTTTCTGCAGGAGCAAATATAAGAGATGATCCTTACAGGACCTCTATAGGAAGAACAGTTTAGAACTGATATAGAACTATCCAGCATAACTCTTAGCATGACTCTTACTGGACATCTAGGAAGAACAGTTTAGAACTGATGAAACTATCTGGTATAAATAAAGTTAGTTTAGGTTTCCTCCTGTAGTAACACTGGATCAATAAGAGATGATGACTCTTACTGGACCTCTAGGAAGAACAGTTTAGAACTGATCGAAGTATCCAGCCACTTTCATAACAACGGGGAATTTAAAAATTATCACAAAACAAACAAGGGGACATGCAGGAATTTAAAAAGATAAGAAACGGAATCGTTGGTATCACAAGTTAAATATACCTTCGACCATCAGCTATTAAAAATGTTTTTATTTTGCAAACGAAAACAAATCCGACACGTTCGTGACCGCATAGATATTTACTATCTTGCTATCTTTTGTTTAATGTCTACGTGTGCCCACACATCGATAATGAAAATTTAACATCGAAAGAAAGGTAAACAAAACTAGCTTTATTTAGATTGGATAGCTTTATCGACTGTTCTCCCTAGACGTCCAGCAAGATTCATCTCTTATTGATCCAGTGTTACTACAGGAGGAAACCTAAACTAACTTTATTTATACTGGATAGCTCTATCAGTTCCAAACTGTTCTTCCTAGAGGTCCAGTAAGGATTATCTCTCATTGATTCAGTGTTACTACAGGAAGAAACCTAAACTAAACTAACTTTATTTATACTGGATAGCTCTATCAGTTCGAAATTGTTCTCCCTAGACGTCCAGTAAAGGCCATCTCTTATTGATCCAGTGTTACTACAGGAGGAAAGCTAAACTAAACCAACTTTATTTATACTGGATAGATCTATCAGTTCTAAACTGTTCTCCCTAGAGGTCCAGTAAGGATCATCTCTTATTGATCCAGTGTCACAGGAGGAAACCTAAACTAAACTAACTTTATTTATACTGTTTTGCTCTATCAGTTCTAAACTGTTCTTCCTAGAGGTCCAGTAAGGATCATCTCTTATTGATCCAGTGTTACTACAGGAGGAAACCTAAACTAAACTAACTTTATTTATTTATACTGCATGGATAGTTCCAACCTCGTTCCCAGGCTCAATCAAAACTCTATCAGTTCTACATTGTTCTTCCTAGAGACCCAGTAAGGATCATCTCTTATTGATCCAGTGTTACTACATGCACATTGTAGCAATAATTTTGGTATACATATTCCTGAATTGTTGACAAACCTTTCCCGAACTGCTGGAGAGAATTTTTTTGTCTGTAGCGATGTTTTTTCGAGGGTGGACAAAATTTCTATAGTCTCTGGCTCTACAACTATATTTCCATGCAAACACTGCAAAAATTTTGACTCGAGTAAAAATTTGACTCAAGTAAAATAAAGCACAAACACAAGTGACTCAAATATTTAAACTTATTTTTTGGTAAAGTAAATCTTCACTCAAGAAATTTAGTAAATTTGCTCACAAAATTGAGCAATGTTACTCAGAAAATTTTGAGTCATTGTGTGCAGTGCAATATTTTTTCAAGTTTTTTAAATTTTGAGTCGAAATGTTTTGCAGAGAAAGGCTTTTCCCAGTGTCAGATATTCCCATTTAGCCTTGCCCTTGGCTTATGTCTACATATATGCAAATTTAATCAGCACTGAATTATTATGCAATAAGTGGCGTATGGGAAAATGCAATATGGGAAATTAGGCAATATTGGTTAATATACTAATCAGGCTATTGCAAAAAATACACCTTTTAAAATTACTTGGAAAAAAAATGCAATTTAAAAGAAATAGCTATTTT